ACCAAGCAGTGCACTTTCAAGTTTGCAATCACAAACAAGTATATCAATGAGGTAACGTGTGAGGACATCCGGCTTGATGTTTGTTCTATGATACTTAGTATTCTTTATTTGTGGGATCGGGGTGCTCCACATTATCAAATGTTGAGGACGTATAAGTTTGTGAAGGATAGCAAGTAGTTCATTATCCATGCTAGTATGAACATAGATGAGTAAGCAAAACATATGGTGAATCCTAGCAGAAGGATTGTGCTATTATTTCAAAGCTTTAAATATCAATTTTTGAAAATATATTGGATGGTCAAAACTTATATCGGATCTTAGTCATCGGGAGATTAGTAAAAATCGGAGTGTCATATCGAATGGTGAGCATATATAATATTCTAAAATATAATCTAAGCACATTTAATAAAATATCGAGAGATCGAGAGGGTCTTCGAAAGAGGTCGTCGATAGAGGTCTTTGAGTGAGAAATTTGCGAGCAATCTTGGAGGAGAGAACAGTTGAGGCAAAGAGAATTAGGGTTATACGATGAGCAGATGTGAAAAGGAATAAGATATCACGGTTTTTGTTTAGTGTATGTGGGTCGGATATGGAAAAAATAGGGTTTTTATCTCCAAACCCAAACCGGTTCACTTAGAATGTAAACTACAGAACATTGAGTGATTTTTAACCAATGAGAAATCGGCCCCTTTTCCGGACAAATAGACCAAAAACAATATGCGATACATTTTTGCAAAAATCGTATCAACCATGACTGAAATCCTGTACATCGGAGATAAATCAATAAAATCAACCTATTTTAAAACCATTGTACTATTTACTCGGTCAAAGGAGGAAGTGAATGTCTCACACACCTTATTGTCAAGTAAGAGTAGACAAGGAGAGGAGATTGAGGATGTTCAGGACACGTATGATGATTTACTCCAGAAGCCAAGGGGCTTGCCACACAACATACTATCAAGCATCAAATTGAGTATTTCTAGTACCTCTCTTATGAATTTGAGGATGTATCAACAATCTATTGTAAAGAACGAGGAGATTGAAGTGCAATTGCAGCACTTTCAATAAAGGTATAAAGACCGGCATGACAAGCATCGAGTTAAAAATTCAAAGTGAGTGTTTGGTTCTGACTGAACAAGGAGAGGTTAAAGGGTGAAGAAAAGACAATCAACCTTATTCCATATGGTCGATTTAAAATCTTGAAACAATATGGAGATAATGCTTATCAGTTCGAGTTGCCTACATATATGCAAATTTAGTTTGTCGTCAATGCTGAAATTTTGAAGTCATTTGAGCCTTCCATGTTAGATGAAGGGGATGAGCCCACTATCGTACTCCCACTACTTTATGATTTGTTCATTGAGAAAGAGCCGCTTAAGGATGATAGTGTTTTGGAGCAAAAAGTTCGTGAGAAAAGATAATGAAGAATCATTACCTACAGGATCGAACAGAAAGGTAAACTGGCAAACCAAGCAAAATGGTATAGTGCGGAGAAATGGAAGCATGTGCTTCCCCACTTGAAGTTTTGAGCTTGCGGGGCTTCACTCTTTCAAAAGGAGAGAGTATTGATCTAGAAGGATGCTTCTATTCCATCAAGGAGACGGAAATTGGAGCACGTTAAAGTCTTATTACAACTAGGAATATGAGTCCTATTATAACTAGGAGTATTGAGTCTTATTTGTATTAGGAGCACCAGCCCTATTGTAATTAGGGGTACAAGTCTTATACAACTAAGAATACGAGTCTTATTTGTATTAGAAATATGAACCCTATTATAATTAGGAGTATGAGTCCTCTTGTGATTTGGAGCATGAGTCCTATTATGATTAGAAGTATGTGGGATTTGAATTACATAAGAGTCCTATCTTCATTAGGAGTTTGTAATTACAGATTTAAAAGGAGTCCTCATTAACTAGGAATTGTAGTCCTACTCATATTAGGTGTTGTTTAAATAGCAAATATATAGGAGAATTCTGTTTAAATAGCGAGTCCAATTCATATAGTAGTTATAATCAGAGTGCTATTTAGATTTGAGATCTCTATTGAAAAAGATGGATTGCAATTTGTAAATCAAGTTAGTCTAGAAGCAATACAAGAAAATCTTAAGAGTAGAGCATTGCTCGCTCCACCAAAAACCTATCTTTGAGTTTTGTTCTTGTAGTTGTAATTCTCTTCTACTTCTCTTTGTTCCATCTAATAGGTCGAGTGGATCAATTTGACTCATAAGTGAATGTATTGGATTTTTATTCACATTGAAAAATCAAATTTTAGTAAAATAATCTACAAAATAGGTACACTTTGTCAAATGTAACTTTTTACATATTTGTAAGGTGAATAATGATTTATGAGTTTGCAAGTGATGGTAATGGATGAACATGCATATTGAATTCATCATGTACACAAATTTGCTAATTTTCCATTGGAGAAAGTCTTATACGTATCATCATAAAATGATGGGCTATTCAGTTAGATATGGTCAAAAAATCAACTATAACCTTGCCTCAAGGAGGTGGTCTATATTAGTGAGGTAGTGTAGAGTATGTTAGAGGGTCTAAAAAACTAGCTAAGCATAACACGGTGATTGAAAACATTGTGAAGAATAAAGACATCAGTTGCTAGAAAGAAACCAAACTTCTCTAACATTTCTAATAGATCTCGTGATACATCAGAGCAATGTTTTAAATATCGGTTGATAAAACGATGATTTATCGGTTTTGGGGGCCTCCCCGCTATGATAAGTTTAATTCTAAGTCGTTTATCGTTTTTGAATATTTATCACTGATAATGCGACGATAAAGTGAGTTATCGGCCGATATTGTCAGCCCAAAAATTAGAATTTTTGGTCTTTGATTTGAGTTTTGATTTCGGGCAACGAGCACCTATTCAATGCACTTTAAACCCGACCCGACCCAAGTTTCTACTATTGGTTAGTGATGCTTAACATAATTATTTACAGTTTGGTATGTTTATATTTTATTAAGTGTAGTCAGATTATATTTTAGAATATTATATCATATATATCACTATCAAGTAATTTCACTCTAATAAATACTACTTATCATCGATATATCCACGATATCTACTATCCGACATAGATTTTGACTGTTCGATAAATCTCCAATAACCGATATTTAAAACCTTGCATCAGAGGAAGGCATATGATTGTTAGGTACATTAAAGAAGATAAAGGTGTTTTCTATGATATTATAACTGCCAATGTTCAGGTAGACTTCCTAATTTAAAAGTGTGGACAAGTTACTTCTCTATGGCCACCTTTATGATCCTAGACTGAGATTCCGAATGATTCAATTTATTTGAGAAAAAATGGAACCTATGGTTATGTGTTTTAATGTTGTAAGTGGAAGGAGATGGAAATCCAGTAGCGTCATGTTGGATATCCATGAATAGAGAGATCACTCAATTTATCCAGAGACAAAGGGATCTGAATCTTGTCAAATTAAATTATATAGAATGTTAATGTCCATAGACAAACAGTGCACATTTCATAAGAATTCAGTATTATCACTAATAAACCTACCCCTCCACCACAACATTTGTGCCTCATTATTTGGAATCTAAGAAGAAAGATGTCTACATTTAAACTTTAAAGTGTTTTTAGAGGATGAAGATCTCTAAAAGGTCTATTGAAAGAGTTAGGTTTACACGCCAGCCACCAAGCTCAAGTGACCGTAGAAGCAGCTGAGCTAGGGGTATAGCAGCATGTTCCGACGAACATTGTGACCTTGTCAAGAGTATCAGAGATCTCGCAGCGGTGGAGAAACATGTCCATCTAAATTAGAATGAAAGCACTAGCAAGATAGCATTCTAAGGTGGAAATTAAGCGGATATAATACAGAGAAAATTATGTGAATGCATGGCTGAAATAGGAAGACCTTTTTCTAATAATTGCCCATTTGGTTGGTTTCTTAGAAAGAAAATAGGGGAGGAAGCCATCAAAAATGGTTTCTAGCAATTTCCTCAAAAAAAACCCATGAAATGAGTTTACTAAAATTTGGATCGTATCATCCAATAGGAAGGTGACACATCACATTTCTTATTGGTTTCAAGATGAGAACAAAACAAAGAGAAAAAAAAAACTATAATAGGCTATAATGGTTTTACTTGGCTTTTTGGGCAACCAAACAACCGGCTAACATAAGATGTCATCTTGATTATAGATCGTTCAGTACATGATACATCTAATGTAAGACCTATATTAAGGTGATATATAAACCATAAGAACCTTTTTTAAAGTCTATTCAGAGTAAAATAAGCCCAAATTGGCGGATGTATGAGACACAATGGGAGATAACAGAGGATGTACTAGTAAGAGTTGCATGAGTCAAAACAAGATTACTGGAAGTGAAAGTAAACAGGTGACCATGAAACCTAAAACTGACATGGCATTCCATTACTTTTTAACAAGACTTCTGGAATTTGACCATAGCAATCTGAAATTTGACCATAGCAATCTTACTCTAGGTACTCAGTCAGTTTGAGCATGTGGTGTTAATACTCGATAGGCTCTATTACTCATATGTTGTCTTATTCCTAAAGAAGGGAAATCCAAAGGCAACCGGAGATCATGCAAACCCATCAGTTTGTTAAATATTGTGTCATATAGTTAAATTTCTCCTTAACAAGATGACTAAAAGGAGATACATAATCTTATTAATGAATAACATATGGCACTCAGAGCAAGGTGATTCATCCTCAATAGGGTATCCAGGCCGAAATAGTGAATAAATGTCGTAGTCTATGGGCTAACAGTGTGGTTATGGTCTTATAGATATTGTTCTTGTTCCACAAGGTAAAATGAAAACAAAAGTTACCAAGAAGATAATTCTCGTGTATAACATCAAATGTAATTGCACCACAATACAACAAGTTTGTGCCTTTGGCATACTCTAGATCACGTCAATTCTCTCAATCGTATAGAAATAAAGAAGATTCAATTACCTAAAAGTTGTAAATAAATTGTAGTCAGAAGTGGAACTTACTTATTTGAGAAATAGAGCCCTTCCGGCAGTAATGCCTGAAAAGTCCAGAAAATATGTCGTAAGTAGTAGCTAACTAATTATAAACCCAAACATATTTAATATCTAAGAAATATTCGACATAGTGTATCATTGTATCTAGTTATTTATTGGAAAAGGATAAATAATAGAGATAGAACTTAAATAATGATGTAAGGGTGCTGGATAGATAAGATAATATACCCACTACTACAAGAAATTTTCTTAATGGTGCTAGGACAATAGTATCCTGCTGGGCAGAACATTTGGCTACTTTTTGTAACATCAGCCCATATATCTGCACCTCCACAAGTATGATTTGGCTGTCCTCGAGGTAACTGGTACTGGTATCTGCATGATTAATAACTTGTACATTCATGTGGCACGATGTTAATTTCTTTTTCTTTTTTTCTTTTTTCTTTTTTTGAAAAAAGCTCAGCAAAAGGAAAGATAAAAATGAAACTGCACCAACTTACGGATCACAAAGACCAGTAGCGTTGTTAAGACTTGCAAGTGGACAATATGCACCCAGGGGACAAGCTTTATTTTTAAAAAAGGAAACCAAGATTAGAAATACCATTTAAGAAAAATGGATAACTAAGTAGAAAGTACTGCATCTTTAACCCTCAATATAAATAAGAAGACACAACACTTCATCATATCCAGCAGTATCAATGAGCACAAGGTAAGGAAATTCCAAAAAATAGTGCAAGCAAATATTATCTGTAATAATCAATATTTTATTATTTTAGATGCAAAATAATAAATTTGGTTAAATATACAAGAGTTGATAGAGAAGGCCCACATGATGTAAGAATTTGGAAATCCAGTTTTCTCAAAGGTCAATTAGTGTTAAATCTAAACCTAACAAACCCACCAAATCTATACCTGAGATCTTAGATGTACAGTTCCACCTCTTATCTTGATTTTCTCTCACGGATGAGAGTGGGAGATTTATTTTCGGAGATACTCCTACAACTAACCAAGCCCACTATTTGAAATCCCTTAATCTCAAGGATATCTTAGTTGAATCTCTCCTTCAAAAAAAAAACCATGTCAAGTTCTCTTTTGCTCTGAAAAAAAATACAACAAAAAAAAGAGAGGAGAAGGGAAGCAGCGACTACAATTGAAGGAGAGAAGGAAAAAAATTACTTGCTTGGGTTTAGCTTTCGGAGTTTCTCTCGAATTTCGGCAAGCATACTTTCTTCTCAAGTTTCCCTTTTCTATAGATTAGATTTTTTTTCTCATTCCTACAATTTTGCCCCCAAATGATTAAGTAAATCCTTTGTTAATTTTAAGTGGTTGCAGCGTATTGAATTATTAGAAGTACCCACATGAAAGGAGGAAACCTTGATTGTTCATTAGTTTGTATAATCCTAAAGTTATTTTTCTTAATTGTGTTTTGAACCTTTGATGCTCTGTAGGATTTCGTTCACCTAGGTGAACTTAGACTGCATGCACCTAAAATTTTTACTGTAGCTTCATGATAACTATTGTCTTAATTGTAGTTATGTTTTTGATATAATTCTTTCTAATAATTTAGTCTTAAAATAGATAGTCTAGTTAAAAAATAACTTTTTTTAATAAGAAAGAATTTCTATTCTTAATGTTTCGCTTTCTTTCCTTTAGACGGTCAAAGAAAAAAAAAATTATATATATAATTTTTGTTTACTAATTATTTTGAGAAAAAAAGGGTTTTATAATCCTACGATTTAGCTTGTTACTACCTTATTTTTTATTTAGTTTTCTTATTTTTTCTTCCTGGCCATAACATTATTCTTGCTACCAACAGTGTTATGTTCACATAAGTTTTTGTACAAGTCAGAAGGTAAAATTTTCGTAGATTTTTATAAAAATATATGTATAACTAATTTACATATGCAAAATATATTTTGAGGACTTATAGAACTAACTGAAATGTATTTAGTTATTTCCTGCATCACCTTTGACACAAAAGAATGATGTTTGTAGTGGTTAGTTGCGTTTGACAATGACACAAAGGTCTAGAGTTCGAATCCCAGGGATCCTGATTTTTCACAAAATTTCATTTGGATCGGGTTTTGAACCCAACCGGACCTGGTTAGGGTCCAACATCAAATACTAGACCAATTTGGGTCTAAAACTCAAATTTCAGACATGTTTGGGCCTTTTGCTCACTAAAACCAGTTTTGTAGATTTCTATGTTGTCAAATCAAACCCGTTTGGCACACTTTGACACTAAACAATTATGTTAATTATCTATTTTCCTTTTTATTATGAATGATGATATTGTTTGATCATTTGGTGCTTGTTGGATCACCTAATCACATTTTATAGGGTTGATTGTGCATGAAGATGACTTCCGTCAAAAAATATGATTCATAAACGTGTTATCATAGCATGACTATACCCTCGACATCTATATCCCAATGTGAGGAGTTTCTCTTGATTATTACTATTATTATAATCAGTGTTATCGAGGCGCAAAGCGCAATGCGGGGCGCAAAGGTCCCTTACGCGCACCATGCGCAAAGCGCACAACGAGACGCGCGCCTCACTAATTGAGGCGCATAACTCAAACTAATATTTGCCAACATCATAAGACAGAAACATATAAGCAACATATTAGTTACCTACATCTAAAATTATGAGAATATCAACTTAAATCATCAAATTATGCTAACTGAATTTTTAAAGTAATAAAAAAGATACAAGAAACATGTATTTAAATCATCAAATTAAGTGATTAACAATTATGAGCATATGTTTATAAATTGTCACATAAAAGACTAAGAAATATAATTAACAAACATGACTGTTCATAATTTTCTAGTTAGTATTCTTAATTGATATTTGCTACTTAGCATGAAAAGATGAAGAATGAATGTAACAATTACATATTTACATGTTTATAATTTGCTAGTTAGCATGCTAATTAGAGAATGAAGTTACAATTAGCAAACAAGTATACTAAATTACTAATTATTGTTTCCTTTTTATAGGTTAAACATGAAAAGATGAAAATAGATTAGCAACTAGTAAGAAAGAGTATATTACATGATATAAATATGTAATTATGTAAATTATTTAAAAAAAATAGAAGAAAGAGTATGTTACATAACGCAGGTGTGAGGCGCACGTGAGGCGCGCGCGAGGCGCACGTGAGGCGCGAGCGAGGCGCAAGTGAGGCGCATGCGAGGCGCGCGCCTCGCTGCGTGCAGCGCCCCGCCTCATGTGCGGGGCGCATTTCCCCCAGGCCGAAGCGCCCCGCGCCCGGGGCGTGCCCGAGGCGCGCGCCTCAATAAGCCTGATTATAATAGCATTGACTAGATGATGCACCCATCTTGATTGAACATGTTTGGGTTACGGTTATTTTTTATAATTTTACGGAAGTCGTTCCACGGTAACTCTGTGGTTAGTGAACGATATTTCATGCACAACCGCTTAAAATAAATAGATAAATGTGGGGTTTATAAAAAAAAATTGGACGGAGAATATAACGTGTATATAAGCAGACTCATGCACATTCTTGATATCCAGATTTATATATAAGAGTTAAAGGTCAATCCTGACTTGAAGCCGTGATCCTGAGACGGTTTACGGGTACCCGATTTATGTACATGAAATATTTTCTTTTCAAATTCAAATAACACCTAAAATAATAATAATGTGCTTGTGTGCCTTGTGGTAGACTTTTTTTTTGATATCTACAATTAGTATTTTCTTTTATCACCTTTAATTGAGTTTTTATCTTTTCTTTATACCTGCTATATACACTTACACGTGCACAATTCCTTCATTTTACATGCTTGTTGGGAGTTTTCTGACTCCCTTGGGGTTTGCACACCCCAGACTCAGGAACTGTTCTTTCTTCGCAGGACCGAGAATATTTTGAGGAGCAAGTCTAGCGGCAGTGATCACCTTTTAGTCCATCAGTTCTTCAGTTCAGTTGGTTTAGGTAGTTACTTAGTTTAGACTTTTTCTTGAGCCACATGTGACTTTTTCTAGACTATGATGTAATTTTTTATTACCCTTTCCCATTATGGATAGTTGTGAACTCGTAGTTGGACTCCGTCCTTTTGGAGATTTCTCCATCTATATATTTCTTTTATTATCTTAGTTACATGCTCTGTGGTGTAGTTTTGGCTTTATATCAATATACATGACGATCTAGATGCGTGAATGTGACCCAATGGTTGCATTGTTGGCCGAATCATGTTCTAAATTATTACACTTTGAAACCGGGGCGTGACATTATCCATGTAAAAACTGATATATGCTAACAGACATCAAGCTGCGTGAAAGCAATCCAAATGATTAACACTAAAGTGTATAGATTGATAAGCGTATCTGGCTGATGTTGCATGACGTGGTTTTTAAACACCTCTACTTAAGAATTGAACAATCCCTCTGTAAAGTAGAGCAACCTAAAGCCTACTAATGGAGGAATTAAAATACAATGCTCATATCTCAGATTTGAGTTCAGCCAGCAACTAGAACTGTAAAATACTATCTTACACCACTATCTAAGTTGTTTGGTCTTGAATGTTATAGAACACGGACGTAAAAACCTTGCCATTAGATTGTCATTTTGTGTTCATGTGATGGAAAGGCAAAAAAAATTAACGACCTGATTTTTGGGACAAAGACTAAGGATCTGAGACTTCAATTCTGATGAAACTTCAAGATAAGGCTACATCATATCACGTGAATCTACAAAGAAAACCTTCCAGCCGCTAAATCATGTAAGATATTGCATAGGGTACTATGATAAGCACTCTTGTCATAATTGTCTGCCAACACATTCAGATGCACATGATGTATGCATCAAGAACACAGAACATTTTCCCTAAATATTGCCTTCTTATTTAGTTCCAGTTTCTTCTTTCTAATTTTTTTCCAATATTCCATTTTTTCCAATATATCCAAATGCCTAAAGATTAAAATCCTTGCAGACTTATTGAATTTTCATTATTTTCCTCTTGTTTACGGATGGACAAAACTATAATCTCTGATGAAGAAAGACAGCAGCTCTCAGGTATTATTTTCCTCTTGTTTACGGATGGACAAAACTATAATCTCTGATGAAGAAAGACAGCAGCTCTCAGGTATTATTTCTATATAGCTACGAGGGATCTTTTCATAATATCTCTGATGAAGAAAGACAGCAGCTCTCAGGTATTATTTCTATATAGCTACGAGGGATCTTTTCATAATCTTTGCAGTCTTAACAGGCTTTGATGTTTCCCTTTGCTTGCCAATGAACAAACACAATGTCTCAAGAAAGTAACTCTCTGCGGCTTTTTTGGAGTTAAGATGGTCTTAATTAACAATGATCATCAGCCATTGTTAACTAAGATAGGGTATTACATTATCATACTTTGTGTGTCTGGAATATGAGTGGACTATTTATCATGTATGATGCATGCCTGGAGCTACATCATTTTTTTTTACTGGAAAATAAGAATTAACAAACTATGAGATTCCATGCAAAAATAGTACAAACAAGATATAAGACAGAATTCACGAATTGGTTTCAATGAACTTAGTGCTCTATATCATAGTAGGTTAGTAACCCTATAAATCATGGATGGTTACTTATAGCTGTTGCAATTATAACTACTAAAAAACTGAATGAAATCACCAAAAAGAGAAAAGAGAAAAAATCCAGAGCTAGTAATGAATAACTTCCAAGAGTGCACCAATATACCAAGGTACTTACGTATCATGCAAGTTATGCCACGAGGACAAAAGAAACCCGCACAACAAGGGCGACAGTTAATAGTTCTAGCAGGCATCGACTTGGAATCTTGAAGCCTGACTTTCTGATTTTTTTGCCCAACACTGCATGACCATCCTGGTTCACATCCTTCCACCCATGAATTTAAGTTGCAGTTCAGATTTGGTTTCAGATAATTCGTTTTCCTAGCTGTTTCTCCATCATTCTGATATAAACTCTTGAAGTAGAATGAAATTTCTGCTGATGTGCATAACCGTTGTGTAAGTCCCCCTGTTGATCCAAATACATCAGGATGGGTGAAACTTAAGCTGTGACCTTATGTGTGTTCGTATGGGTGCATTAAGTGTGTCCATGTTTGAGTCTATGTGCATACTATCCATGTTTGCGTGTGTCAATGCTTTTGCGCATGTAAACTATCTTAAAAGCAAAAAAACACAGCCATGTCCATCCTTTTCTCCATACTCCATACGACAGCATATTTGATACTAGTTATTAGTAAAAGTTACTGTGTAATTGTAGCTATTATATGAAAATTTACTAGAAAATATACAAATAAACTTAATAAAGAAATAAATGCTGTAGAACTACTTTTGACTATCATATAACCATAACACCGTAAAATGAATATTCATATAGATGTCTAGATGAAACAGAATGAAATGAAAACTAGGACAACTAATACTACAAAAATGATACAGAAATACTAAAGAGTCCAATTGATAATGGATAAATGCATGGATGCTACTTAATAATGTTCGCCATATTAGCAGTGATCCACTTGTTATCTTAATGGAGGAAGACAATGACACGTATACAAGATGTGCCTTTTAAACATGTAAGCTTCCAAGATTATCATTGCATGAAAAGAATTAACTCTAGGTCACTATGTTTAGTTCTCAGGTTCTCGCAATCTATATACTACATTAAATCTCTTACCATTGAATCTGCCACTTGGCAATTTCTCCTTTTTTTTAATCATTTCTTAAATAAAAGTTACACCTTGCAAAAAGTATAATGCTCTCTCTCCTTCTACATGTCTCATACGGTTGTTCATATTCTACAGTAAATATAAATATATTTATTTCTCTTTGATTTCTCTCTTGGAAATAGATCATCAGCATAAAAACACTTTTCATGAAGCCAACAAATTTAAATTCAACCGGCGCTTCGGTTCTCTAGCTTAACTAGCGCATTGATTCCACCCTTATATCAAGAGAATCGACAAATTTAAATTCTAAACCATTTATCCCTCTAGACTATTCCCACCGTCCTTGGGACATAGAGGTCTCTTAGAAGTTATACCTTAAACCTATTACAAGCTGAATAGCTATCAATCCCAACTCCTGAAACCCCCACTCCCCCTCTCCATCTTCTTACTTCTCTCGCAAGAAGCAATAAAGATAAAAAATTTCTTCTTCATTTCCATCCTTTTCTAACCCTTCTCTCTTTCTCTTAAATTTTTGTTGTTGATTTTGACAGAGAAAGAGAGGAGATGATGACTGAATCAAAGAGGCTATTCTAGAAGGGGATTTATTACTAAATCATTGAAATTTCTAAAGGGAGAGTAGTTACTACTGAGGTTAGAGAAACTTAGAGAGAATGCTACTCTTTTGATTGCTTTCAGTTAAAATCTTTTTAAACTTAAATTGTCTAAATTTTTATACGCTGGTCTCTAAAATCTATCATACCTTTTTTACTTAGTCAAAAATCATTGAAATTGCTATTTAGTTTTCTTTATTCATGTAAGTTGCTATTTGAAATCCCCAATTTTTTTAGTGGATAGATGAGAATTGTTCATTTTTTAATTCTTATGAGCCCCTGCATTACTTTGTGCATTAGCCAAAAGAGGTAAACATGACTATACCAGATAGAAGCCTACATTTATTAGTGGGAAAATAAAGTCATATATAAATTTGATAAATGTTAACTTTTAAGGGGGCATCTGAATATAGACAACTAAAATTAATTAACTAAAAAACTTGAATGCAGGGATAATTTGTTGTTAGGCTTTAATGACTCTTTTAGAGAGGCTTTGGTTGATGAAATTAGTTCTTTGTTATTAATTAGAACAAATTAGTTCTTGGTTGTTAACTAGAACAAATATGTTTATATAATTGTGGTTGTATTTTTTTAGAGATATAAATGTAGTTATATAATTTTGGACTATATTAAAAATGTTTGAAAGATATCTCTAAACTATACTGAAGGAAATAGTTCATGACCCCTATTTAAATTTACTATTTGCACTGCCTTCTCTTCTTCTTTCATGATTTCTTCTTTTTCTGATTGCTCATCAATTGTCTAAAGATTTTAGGTGGTGCCAAATATCTGACAACAACACATGCTCTTCGAAACTTTAAATCTTTTTTCTTTTTAGTTTTATATGCAACGCTCAGATTTCTTGGTGATGTTTAGGCATTGATCTTAACTACGTGAACAAGGTCATTGCTTATCCCCTTATGACTTATTATGTTAAGTTGTGATCTTTAATTATTTTCCTTTATTTTTTGTTATTTAATCCTTTAATTGAGTATTGCAGTTTATTCATGCTATGCTTTGTGAGCCTATTAACTTAGTAGTTAAATAAATTGTTTTACATATTTCATATCAGAAATTATTATCGAATTGATAAGTGGAACTCCTGCTACTGATGCACTTTCTTTTAATTCAGCATGAATGTAATGATTCAATGAAATTACTTTAAAATATTATCCAACTGCTTTAAGGAGAAATATAGGATTAGTATTAGTTCATGAAAGCATAATGTAAAAATGAGTTGTCATATGAGTTTTTTTCTTTTTGCTGCTTTGCAAACGAAGATGTGCAAAACTAATGGGTTGTTTTTTCATTGTTCATTTTTAATGGGTCTTTTACTCATATATTCGTGATTCCTATGGAGCATTAGCTACAATTAAAATAATTTTCCAGTTTCCCCTTTATTGTTCTCTAAAATTTTGAAATCAGAAATTTTAAAATTAATTTTATTACTCATACAATCTAAATATGAAAGATAGAAGTTAAATTTTATTTTATTATAGTTACAATCAATAGTGATTACGTCATGTTGGAATCCCATTTCTTCTTAGAGATACGTATCCTGTTAATTTTGTCTTTTACCCTTCTTATATGTATGTACATTTGAAAAGAATTACGTACTCATATAAACAATTTTACAACTTGACTCCTTAACTTGAGAAATTTTAACATTTGTTTATGAAGATAGTTATGCTAATTTGCTCTGCATGCATGATTTTACTCTAGCAGACTAAATCTTAAATTGGTTGTAGTCTTCATTTAAAAGTTTGTTAATTATAGAATTACACCTAAGTTTTTCCCATAAAAAGTACAAATTGTAAAATAATTGGATGTAACAAAATTGAACTATGTTTATCATACTTGATACTACTGCTAAGAACATGCTGACATATTTTTAGAGAGGTTTTCCATTACTAACTTACTTGATGGAGGAAAATGGATTCAAAAGTCTGAGTGCTTTAAGCGCTCCTAATAATTATTACAACTTGCTTCTAGTATCTATCTAGTGTTTTAGTGTGTTAATCCTGATTTTGTTTCCATTATTCATTTTCTCTACATATGCAACCTGTCGAATGTTCTTTTGACATGAAAGGCTACCATGGTATTTTTTTTCCACACAAATTTCTTTCTCAATTTAATATAACTTAAAAAGTTAATTAATTTCAATAAAAATTTTCGATTGAGAAACTAAAAACATGTTTGAAGGGATTATCTTAGGACTTATATGAGCACAATAATGAGAAAAATGTCATGGACATAAAGGGGACGACGAAAAAACAAGGTGAGTGGCGCGCTACTTCTATTCTATTGAAACTAATGACTTTGTTCTCTATCATATCCACAGCAAATATGAAATCTCCAAAACGTCGAACGAGGCCGACCTGATACGACGACGAATGACATGCTATGTCATGCTTTTGTGTCAGGGTGCTATTGAATTGTTGGGGAGACTTCAGTAAGTAATATTTTGGTGAGCTTCAATTGTTTGCTTCTGTTATTTGGTACAAATTGCTTCCAGTTCTTTCAATTTAAAGTTATGTGCATTTTTGCATTTACTGTGTGAGGGTACATTTACTTTTAGAATAATTACTTCTTACCATAATATTTATGTTCCTTGATTAGTTTTTGACTTTGATTAGAATTTTAGTCATGGTCTGATTTTTCTCAATTGATTGTACATGATTTATTGACTTTGGAATCTATTTAATAGAGTCTCTTTATGAACTACTCTAGTCTATTCTTTATATTTGTATTTTGTTTGTTGGATGTTGATATTTTAATTTAATTTGATGTCAGTATAACTCGAAAGAGTATGATTAAACAATAGATTTTTGTTCACAAGGGTTTTATAAAAAATTTACTTGAATTTTGAAATGTGGGAAGATATTATATCTCCATTAATTATTTGGTCTACTTGTTCTAATTTGTTAGTTTTTGATATTTTGATGTTGATTTTGATTCAAAAAGAACTGAAAAGATACCGTTATTTTTTTTCTTGAAACCTTCATTCCATATTATATTTTATATGTTATGATGATGTTATAGACTCAGTCCAGTATTAGTTACATTTCTATAATTCACTTGTGAGATAATTGTTGTATATTGTGAACTATGAATCCTCTTTGAAATTTCACTTTCTTAAATTGGCATCTATTACATATTCACATGGCTTATTGTATTTGTTTATATGGCTTGGTCAAGCGTCCTTATATCTTCATTTTATGCATTTTAATCTTTTCTTTTAAGAGCTAAATAAATATATTGTAGTTTAATTGAGAGGAAAAAAATATGTAGACTTAGTTGGAATGCTTTGTTTACAAAAAAATTTAATATGGAAAACTATTTATGTTTCTTATTTAAATTTTAGTTGTACTGCTTACCCGCATTTCATATCTACTAATCGCTCCACATCTATAAAATCCCAATTAGAATAATATCAGTCTTGGATCAATTATATTGGTTTATTGAATAACCTCTTATAAAAAGTTTTATATTCTTAAAACTTATCCTACTAATTTGCTACATAGATTAAATCTAAGTAAACGACCTCTTATCATAAACTTTATTTTCTTAAGACTTAATCCTTTCTCATACTTTTCTAGTTAGATTTTGTTGATGGAGGTGAAGGCGTATGGATATTGATGATGGTAATGGATCAACAAGAAAATGAGACTGAAGTCTGGTCAATGTCAGTGTCTAGGCTGATCACGATTAAGATTACTGATGGTAGTTGTGCCCAAAGGAATCAAGGAATTAGCACAGAACCTTAAAGCCCTCAGGATTGATTTGTTATATGGCAAATTAATTTGTTTCGAGAACAATTTTATTTAGGTTACGTTATGTGTAATTGTTGTTATTTATTTTTTTCTCTTATGTCAGATGGGTGACCTATTTACAGTTTAGTGAAAATAAACTTCTCATAGTTGAATGAGTTATTTAACGTTAGTCTTATCCAATGTTAGTACTTGGAAATTATTAGTTTCTATAATTATTGCTCAATCATTAATAGTCAGAGATAATTGTGTGGAAAAAATCTAATGGTAAGTTACTAGTGAGTTTGGAGCCTGATGGCTTTTATTTATGTAAATGATACAGTTGAGTGATGAGGAGGTGAACTTTAAAAACTTTAAAATTCAATTCTAGATGCAGCCTTTTCATTTTATTATTATTTTTTTAATGAAAGTAAAAGCAATGCAAATAATCATAATTTTGCAGTATAACCAATGCAACATGTATGAGTTTTAGGAAATAGCATCTCTTACTTGTGCAATGTATAGGGGATCGTGAATTTTATGATTATTTTGTATTTTTAGAAAAATACAAATAACTATGGTTTTATTCTTTTCGTACATAAAATATCAAACAATTGTGCCATTTTTTATTTTGAAAATTTTCAAATCAATATTAAAACAATTCATGCATTGCACGGGTCTGAAACTAGTTTTGATGAATCAACAACTCTTACAATCTGTCAAAAGCATGTTATTTTCTATCCAGTATAACCTAAAATTCTTAACTGGCTCCTACCCACACCATCAACCAACTAATGAGTCTAAAAATGAATATGATAGTTGTCTAGATATTGCAGTTATTCATCAGAAATCCTGAATCTTGTGCATATGGGATTATCGACATATTACTTTCTCCACAACGATAAGGTGTTGAAGAAAACTAGTAACTAGTATGAAGATGCCCATGTGTGAATATTTCTAATTGCCTGCTGGAAAACTTCTTCTCTTATTAACTATCGATTTATTAATCTTTTATTACTCTCACATTTGAAGATAATTACCTCGTCAGATTTTTTTTTGAATTTTTTTTAACATTCTTTAGTTTCCTCTACCTCCTAAATCTTCGTAGGGTGTGCTTGTCCACAAATTGAATTTAAAAACTGAAAATCAATCCAAGTATCAAATATGTGTTTAATAAGGATGTCCTTGCCCTCAAAGGAGTTGGGCCTGTTTGGATGCATTTTTTGGAACGAAAGTGATGGCCAAGTGTAAAAATGTGGGCCCTTGTAGTAGCTTTCTTTACTTGTTTGTTTGCGGTTATAAGAACATGGTAAAATGCTTAGCTGTCAAATAAGAGGCTTAGGTGTCAATGTAAACAGAAATCCAAAAAAATAGTATGTTTTGGGTAGAAAGCTGCACTACGTCAGAGTTATTGATAAATTATCAATTTACCCATCACTCAACTCCCCCCTTCGCCTCTTTTTTCTTCTTAATTGCAAACCCAAAAAACATCAATTTTGAAGCTAAAAAAAATTCCCCTTCTATCTTTTTTCTTCTTCAGCAACCCACAAGAAGACTTGTGGTACATCAATCAATTAAATGAGAACTTCCACCTCTAGTTGTTTCAGATTAATTCTCTAGCAACAAATAATCCTAAGGCCCTCTTTTGAATCAAAGTTATCTCACCTCCCAATAAAAAAAATTATGCTTGCTTGTTTGGAAACAAAATACGAGATTGAAGATAGATAGTTTATCAATGAATTGCAATTAAGGTCGGGAGTTGGAACTTGGAACAACATCAATTAAACTCAGTTTCAAATTTGAGATAAACATAGAGGCGTCAAACATCTAATTCTACCTTTGCTGCTATATTATACCTCCATTTGCTTTTAGAGCCAATCCGAGTTCTCAAAAAATGGACCGTGTTAAGACATGGAATTAGAAGTTTAGAACTGGTTGCAAGCTAATATGAGTGAAATGCTCATGAGAGTGAAAGGATTTGCTTGCATTATCTTTATTGTTTGTTGGGTTAATTTCACGAACACCCTCTAAACTTTGGAGGGTGTTGCACATAAACGCTCTAAACTTTTGAGTGTCTTCCAAAACTCCCCTAACATTCAAGCTTTTCTCACCAGAGTCTCATACATATAATTTACAAATAACTAAAATTTCCTTGAGAGAATAATTAAAAATCTAATTTTTTTTAGGAGGGGATATGTGGCCCTAAGTTCAGGAGGCTTATGTGAGATAAAAGAGTATCAGGAGGTTTATGTGAGATAAGAGAGTTTAGGTGGTTATGTGCAAAGCCCCCTGAAGTTTCAAGGGGTTATGTAAGATAAAAAAAGTCTAAGAGGTAATATGAAAGTAACCCTTTATTTTATCGATTGACTTCTTAATGGAGAATAATGATCAATAAATTAGGTCGTTAGATTTTCTGTTTGTTAATTTCTTTCTTTAAATAGGTTTTTTTATAGAGATAATCTTACTCGTGGTAAAATCAACCTTTTGAATGGAGTTCACAAAACTATCACTTTCCAAGATCTCATGATATGATCCAAACAAGGGTAACACATCATCTTAGGATTCATAATAGAATTCAAACCAAACAATGTAAACACCCAAATGGAAAATGATGAGGTTGATAATAACTTTCCATTTGGTGTCATAAATACCCTCCTCTACACATCCAAACAGACTCTTATTGCTACAGTCATACACTAAATAATATTGTCATTGTCAAGGATACTTTCTTTGAATTATCAACTTTTCATTGCTCTACAGTGAACAAGAATATCCAACTTTTGTGAAGACATATAAATGCTGTGCAGTGCTCCAAAACGATGGTAAATGCAATTTCCTCCTGGAAAAATCCTTCACCCCTTTTTTTATCTCAGAGCTAAATTATTTGTTTCCACGGTTTCAACATAAAATCCCTTAGTGCTGATGAACTTTCATATTAACACACATAAAGCTCTGATGAAGAAAGTGTTAAATATGTTTGAGAATCCTGAAGGTGGTTGAAATTTGAACTGTTAAATAGAGTCTGAATGTACCTTTTGTTTCCTTGATGCAATCAGACAAGAACTGCAACTCCGAAGAGAAATTAAAAGCCTCATTCCAATCTTTGTCCCTGCAAAGCCCACGAACAAACAATAATAACCTCCACCAAATGCAAACATTATCCCCAAAAAAATAAAAACGACAAGAAATCTTACGCATCCTTGATGCAGTACTCCAAGTTCCTTTTCACTTCGTTCCTGAAAGTGCCGGTGAGGTCCATGAGTCGCTTGTACACAACGCCGGCGAAGACGGGGACGTCGTTGGCGCCATCTCCGTCTCTGCTGTCGTCATCGACGCAGATCGCAGGAGAGAAGAGCGACAAGGCGACGATGAAGAGGAGAGAGCCGGCCAATCTCGCCATGGAGATGAGAATTGAGGGGTTAGGGTTAGGGTTAGGCCATGGAGAGATGAGGAGGGGAGAATTGAGCGGGGAAATTGGGGCATGGTGTTTGTTCTAGGGTTTGGAGGGAAATTGGGGAAGGGACGGAAGAGAGAAGGATGCGGCGAGATTTTTGACCTACGATGGCTAGTTCACTAATTTGTATTCGAGAGGGAATTTGCGTACGTCTTTAGCTGGTTCCGAAATGCAAACTGTTTCAACGGTACACAGGATCTATTAAGGCATCTCCAACAGTTCTCCAAAATTTTCTTCAAAATGGGAAAACAAAAGTCATATTCTCTAAATTATTTTTACACCAACTCCAACACCTTACTTATTTTGAAGAATCCATTTTTTCCTCTAAAAATTTGGAGAATGCTGCAGATTTGGAGAAGCTTCCCCATTTTTTCTACTTCATCCCTATTTTGGGGAATGAGATGGGGAATCTGTTTGACCAAAAACCTAACTAAATTCTCCAAAAGTAGGAAATGGGGAAGCTATCCAACAGCTTCCCCATTTCTCACTTTTGGAGAATATAGTTAGGTTTTTGGTCCAACAGATTCCCCATCTCATTCCCCAAAATAGGGATGGAGGAGAAAAAATAGGGAAGCTTCCCCAAATATGCAGCATTCTTCAAATTTTTGAAGGAAAAAAGAGATTCTTCAAAATAGGGAAGCTGTTGGAGTTGGTGTAAAAATAATTTGGAGAATATGACTTTTGCTTCCCCATTTTGGAGAAAATTTTAGAGAAGCTGTTGGAGATGAAATTTGGAGAATGTTGCAGATTTGGGGAAGCTTCCCCATTTTTTCTACTCTATCCCTATTTTGGGGAATGAGATGGAGAATCTGTTGGACAAAAAACCTAACTAAATTCTCCAAAAGTAGGAAATGGGGAAGCTGTTGGAGATGCTCTTAGGCAGTGGGTTGGGCCTCTGGCTTTGAGTGGATCTCTATTGGATTGTTGTTCGTCTCATACGTGGTCTGTTTGATGGCAAAAATAAAATAAAATAAAAATAAAAAATATCATTATATCATATTGTATTTCCTTTATCATATATTTCCTTTAGAAGTTAAGAAAAATCTTTCGGTCGATAGAAATACCATTATAATTTAAATACTAACACATTAAGTAAGAGTAAGTTGATAAATTGATGAATTCTTATTAGATATACATAGTGTAAAGATCAGGATATGGTTTAAATTGGAATATAAAGCTGAATAAAATTATTAAAAGCCAAATTTACAAATGTCTGTCAGATGATGGGTGTATATACAAAAACCAAACAAATTAACGAGACAAATAATATCTGCCCTAAAGGTCGAACCTAGGAACAGCGCAGACCTACAAATGTACATAATGTGGACGGGATATTTACAAAATCCACCAAACAAATTAAAAAGACAAAAGTCATTCTCAAAATTATAAAAAAGAAAAATTAAAACAAACAGTTGCAATCTGAGGACACAACATGGCGATCTTTCACCGACTAAAATTTAAGTAGTTAACAGTACTGTATAATTAGTTTCAAAGACTAATTATACTATTATTATTTAAATAGAACTCTATTTATAATTATTATCCTCTCACATGCAACATCACATACCAAAATATATAAGCTAAGAAATCACAACAATTTTCATAGCACTTCCATCTCCTTCTATATATGTGTGTGCCTTTGTTATTTTTTTCATATTAGATTAGATTGGATTATTTTAAAGTAATTAATTATATTGTATATTTAATTTTTTTTCTATATTAAGAAATAGCAACAATTTTTATAGCACTTTCATATATTTCTTCTTATTAGATAGATTATTTTAAAACAATTAATTATATTTTGTGTTTGATTTTTTCGGATCAAAAATTGTAATAATTTTTATAGCACTTTCATCTCTTTCAAATAGGTATGTATCTTTGCTATTTTCTTCTTATCAAATTAGATTAGTAGATTAGATTAAATTTTTTAAAAATTATGAATTATAAAATTACAACAATTCTCACATAACTTTCATTTATTTTCTTCTTATTAGATTATATTAGATTGTTGTAAAGCAATTAATTATATTATATATTTGATCTTTTTTCAGATCACATAGTTTAAATATACTATTATTATTTAAATAGATATTGTTTGTATAAAAGTCAAAGAGAATCTCACACGTATCATAAATCTCAATGCTAATTGTAATACTTACATATATGTGTTGGTTAAAATAAATTTTATGTATGGGCTTAACTTTTGTTATCCTACTTTAATCGATTAGATAATTTTAATTTTTTTACACCCAAATTCTTCCACAAAACCAATAAATATCTTTGAAAATGAACAAAGAAAACCACACAAACAAAAACCATATTAATTACCCTCACACACCCACTATTTTCAAAACCACCCTTCTCCATCTCCATCTATAATATATCTATATTTCCAAATTAAGCTGCTAGAGTTTCCCTCTCACCAACTACACCATTGATCCACATATTTTGTACTTAAATCGTAACATCCATTGTGATGAGGACTCACTTGAATCCTCTGTCTGCCTTTAACGCACAATAAAAAAAATAATGCACTAAGCCTTGTAGTTAGTTAATAATAAGATCTTATCATTATAAACAAATTAAGTAAATATTAATAATTCCTAAGAATGTACTACGTTCCCCCTAGCTTCCACTGCAAACTTGTTAGTTGTTTATTCCTGGCTCCAAAAAAATTTCAAAATTAATTTTGAGGGTTGCTTGCATTAAAAATTTATGTTAGAGGGCCCATACAGTCTGTTTTATAGTTTAAGATTGTCAACATATTTTGTCTCTGATGCATATCAGTTATGAGTAATAATATAAGTTAATTGATCCAAGTATATCCTAATATATTTATGGACTCTTGCATTGTCTTTTGCTCTCTATTATATACCAACCTGATATCACAATTGATGTAGACGATGAAGACACTACTGTAAAATTGCCCGGGAAAAAGATAAAGGTGGAGAAGGATTGATATCTGCTCAACTAAATATGAAAAAAAGAAGGAATAAAGGATAATATTTTTTTGAATATTTTATAGCAAAACTTAATTCTTTGAGTAAAATTAGGAATTTTTAGAAGGGATTTTCATGCAAATTTTTAATATGCTTATGTGAATGATTTTATCATATAAAGTATACTAGAATTACCATTTATTTTTAGCATTTATTTTTTTATTTTAAATCTATCAATAATTAAGATATCTTGTAGTCTTGTGAATAGAATGTGCTCTATACTGAGCTTATACAAACCATCTTAATATTAAGTATTTGGCTATATTTTTATTAACACGTTAACAATATATTATTGTATTTTTTTCAAACTTAACATTATATTTAATGACTAAGATAAACAAATTAGAGATAGATGATTTGATCCGATAAACAAATATATTATATGGAGTTTGATATAATTTACAAAATAAATATTGTGTATGCAAGTATATAAAAGTATATTGATCTCAGTTTTACACACGAATCTATTATATAAATTTTTAAATAATATTTATGGCAAATGTAATAATCCATGTTTATAGATTTTAGTTTAAATTGAATCTGACTTATTTTATAGTAAGAAAATAAATAATAAATAAATAATTTTGATATTTAACCAAGTGCATTGCATATGCACAAGAACTAGCACTAAAAAAATGTTAGAATTACCATGCGATCAGATCAATTCATTGTACAGATGCTTTCTGAAGAAAATACATTTTCAATAAAATTTCTGTATTTGGTTTAAAAGAGATTCTTTTGGCTAGATTTCATTCAACCACAAGTCAATAAGGCGTGCTTAGGATGCAAATGCTCTAGTAGTCAATATTTATGAAGTGTGTTGCTATATTATTTCTCTCAATTTGGTCCGGCCAAAGCTTCCTATGCTCTTTTGGCAGGCTTTCTGCCCAACCCCCAATGCCAAATACATCAACCAAACAGCCCCTTAGTCCCTTACATCTTTTGTATTTTGAAACTAACACCTCAAATCAAAGAAATTGCGATTATGTCTCTCAATTCTTAGATTATTTCAAAGTATCAAGCATAGAAGAAGCAGCAATTGGAGAGATTACCAAGTAAAATTTGTTGTTGTGGACTATTAGCTCCTCCAATTTTCTTTTTTTTATAAATTGATAGTCCCTCCAATAGCTATTTATATTCTTGAGTGGAGGGACTAATTTCAAAACAGGTCAAAAATTAGGGGACCTAATAATAGCAATTTGCATGATTTGAGGGGCTAATTTCAAAATATTAAAGATTTAAGAGGCCGATGTGATGATCTTTAAGGGATTAATATAGTGACTCAATTACGGAACAATTTCATAAAAGTGGTTGAGTATATTCTACTCCTGCAGGTGAATGCTTAATTATTTTTTGGACATCTCGTGCTGAAATTCCTGGCTCCGTCACTAAGTATATCAAATACTTATTTTTTTCATGTTTTGTCACATTCACATTACATCATAAAACACAAAAACTTCCAACTTGGCTATACCTTTTTTTCCTTTATTCCTAAAGTATAACCTCTTCATTAGCAAGAGAAAATTACTAAATTTTATATCTAATGGGTATACAAGTACTGAATCAGCAAGTTGAGAGATATCTATTTCTTTAGTTCATTTATTTATTGAGTTACTTACATATTTATTTATTTGGCAACAAGGAAAACTTAGAAAATTTCTATATCCGAGGGAGAGCCTTGCTTAATTGACAACAAAGCAACACTTATTGAGATGTTTTTTGAATTCTATGATGTTAATTTTGGTCCGATTTCCCTCTCATGAGCATCTAGCCATAACATAAAGTACATTAGATTTGTCTTATTAACCTGAGAAAATTGTGTCAATGCCCCAAGTTTAAAAAGCCCATGTGACCCAGCTTTGTAGTTTCATCCTTGTATGCGAACTCAAAATAGAATGCAATATTGTGTTTCAGCCCTTATTCCTCTGCCAACTAAGCATAGAGAGAGAGAAAAATCATAACATGGTGAAATTTCTCCTCTCTCTTCCTCCTCTCAACGCAACCCTCTCCTTAAATTCTCAATGAAGGCACTCAAAAATGCCAGAATGAAGACGAGAGTCACACCTTATTACAACAAATCTCGCAAGTGAAGAGGTCATCCAGAAGTTAGCCCGAAAGTATTGAAACTCGTCTTTTAGATGA